CGGTCCCGGTGCGGGTCCCGGTGCGGGTCCCGGTGCGGGTCCCGGTGCCGGTCCCGGTGCGGGTCCCGGTGCCGGTGCCGGTTCCAGTGGCGGTGCCGCCGCAGGTGCCGGGTGCAGCAGTGGGACTCGGACGAGCCGGTGCCGCGGGCCGAGCTGCTGGCGGGCGTGGCGGGGACGCGCGGGCTGCTGTGCCTGCTCTCGGACCGCATCGACCGCGAGGTGCTGGACGCGGCCGGTGCGTGCGGGGCCCCCTTGTCCCCCCCGACACCCCCGGGCCCTCGGGACAGGCCCGGCAGCGCCGATCGTGTCTTACAGGGCCCGACCTGAAGGTCATCAGCACTTTGTCGGTGGGCTTCGACCACCTCGCCCTGGACGAGATCAAGAAGCGGTAACGCTGCCCCGCTCCTCCCCTGCTCTGTCCCCCGCCGGCTCTGACACCTCCCGGACCTCTCCCCCGTGCCCTGCACCCCCCTGCGCTTGTCCCCCGGTGCTGGAGCCTTCCCCCCACACACCCCACACCCCGCTGGTCCCGGTGGCACGGGGTTTTTCACAGAGTGCGGCGCTGGGTGGGGTCCGCTACCTGCACCCCTCTGCTGCCGGATCATGGCTGGGGTCACCCCACACTCGCCAGGCCCGGAGAAGCCATTTGGGTGCTGGGCCGAGGCAAGGACCAAGTGGGAAAGGGTGTGGCAGGAGGGCCGAGAGCCGAAGGGATGTCCCTGGGTGGGTGGGACAGGCACAGTGCTGGCAGCCAGCCTGGGGACGCCAGCCCCAGAGCCCCGTCTGGCTGGCAGGGGGATCCGTGTGGGGTACACCCCCGACGTGCTGACCGACGCCACCGCTGAGCTGTCCGTGGCCCTGCTGCTGGCCGCCTGCCGCCGGCTGCCGGAGGCAACAGAGCAGGTGAAGAGGTGAGTGAGCACTGGGGTCAGCGCCAGAGCTGTGCCCCGCGGGCTGGTGACGAGGGGCTGGTGTCTCATGCAGCTCACACCGAGCACCTGGGCTGGGCTCTCAACTCCTTTCCATGACTCCTGCTCCTGTCCCGCTCTCTCTGCCAGTGGTGGCTGGACAACGTGGAAGCCCCTGTGGATGTGTGGGTATGGCCTGTCCGACAGCACCGTGGGCATCATCGGGCTGGGCAGGATAGGTAAGTCCAGTTCAGAGATTTCTGCGTCTGCAGCTGTGCCAGGTTGGGTTTGGAGCATCACCTCCAACTTGGGCTACTGGAGGGTGCCCCTGCTGGAGGTGGAAGAGTTGGAGTGAGGTGGTCCTTGCAGTCTTTTCCAACCCAGACTGTTCTGGGACTCTGACTCAGCCAGGGTGGTGCCCTGGAGCTCACCTGTGTAAACCCCCTGAGCACAGCAAGTGGAGCCGTGCAGAGCCTCTCCCAGAAGCTGTACTGGCTCGGCAGCCTCAGGCTCAAAGCCTCAGGTGTGCCTGTGCTCCCGCCACCTGCAGCCCCAGCAGCAATCTGTGCCTGCCCCAGTGCTCAGTTACACAAATGCAGTGGCAAAGTCCACGCAGCGCTCGACACCATCCAGCTGTGGACTTTGCCAGCAGGCAGCCATTCCTGTCCTTGCTCCCCAGGGCAGTGTTCCTGGGGGTAGCCACGGGGTCAGTGTCCATGGGCCCCTTTCCACAGCAGAACCCTCCAACCCCACCCCACCAGTCAGGGCTGGGAGCAGCCAGGAAGGAGGGATCCCACTGCAGCAGCCCTGCAGTGGCTTCAGGTGCTGGTCCCCACAGGTGCTGTGGAGCAGAGCAGCCCAACACCTTTCTTCCTCACTCTTAGGACAGGCAGTTGCCCGGCGCCTGAAGCCGTTTGGGGTCAGGAAGTTCCTGTACACTGGCAGTGGCCCAAAACCGGAGAGTGCGGCAGAGTTTGGGGCTGAGTTCGGTAAGGATGGCACCAGGGCAGGGGGGGTGTCAGTCAGCAGTCGTGGAGCACCGTGGCTGGGACAGCTCCAGGGGTGTCACTCACAGGGTTTGTCACCTGCAGGGTGGCCAGTGGAGGGAGGGCTGGGGGGGCTGGGGGCTCCTGGGTGTACCCAGTGCAAGGGGAGGAGTGCCCCATCCCAGACCCCACAGTGGGGGTGGCAGGGAGGACCCTGCCTCCTCCGAGCCAGGCAAAGGCTGGGCATGCAGGGGTTCATCAGACCACCAAGAACTCCAGCCTGCCGCTGATCCTGCCACTGCTCCCCTTCCCTGTGTCTGTGCACTGGTGAATTGCTGTCAGTTTTATTCCCACAAGGAAGTTGGACACAGTGAACAGAGGCAAAACGTGACAGCTGCTCGTAGGAGGAGGGGAGGGTCTTGTGGACTGTCCCCATGGGGCTGAGTGCCCAGGTGACCTGCTGGGAGGGCAGGAGGGACTGCTCCTGGAGTTCTGCTGAGGGAAGGTGTTGGCTGCAGTGGGATGTTTCTGTGCTTCTTCCCCCAGTCCCTCTCACGAGGCTGGCCGAGGAGTCAGACTTTGTAGTGGTGACTTGTGCCCTGACGCCAGCTACCCAGGGGATGTGCAACAAGGACTTCTTTGGCAGGATGAAGAAGACTTCTGTGTTTGTCAACACAAGCAGGTACTGGCAGCCCAGAGGCGTGCCTGGGAGAGTGGCTGTTGCCCTTCCACGCTGTGAGTGTAGGGGATCTGCTGGGCTGTGAGTGCAGACAGCACAAACAGCCTTTGTGGCTGCAGCCACTGGCTACGTTTGCCCAAGGCCCCTTGGGATTGAACCAAAGGCAAGATAAAGTGTTCAGGGAGCACCCAGCTCTTCAGCTCACTGCTGGGAGGTTCAGGCACATCCAGAGGGGGTCTGACCTCTGCTTAGGCAGCCCTGGGCAGCCTCTGTCTCTGTGCCCTGGGGGCCAGCAGGCCCCTCAGCAGTGACACCAGCCCCTTGCAGGGGGGCTGTGGTGAACCAGGAGGACCTGTACGAGGCACTGGCCCATGGCCAGATCGCAGCTGCCGGCCTGGACGTGACCACTCCGGAGCCACTGCCTACTGACCACCCCCTGCTGTCCCTCAAGAACTGTGGTGAGTGTCTGGGGTGGTCAGACCCCTCCTGCAGCAGGTGCTGCCTCGGGGGCCCAGAGACGGGTGTGACAGGGACCCCTGGGCCCCACTGGTGGCAGTGGGCACCAGAGCACAGGACAGACAGGTCAGGTGTACTTAGGTGGGCTACTGTACAGTGCAGGGAGCTGCTGTGGAGTAAACACTCATCAACATGATGTCAAACAAGTGTGGGGAGCTGTTTTAATTTTCCAGAAAGCCATTGAGATAAACTCAGTTTTAGTCCCTTCATGATGGCTCTTCATTCAGTGTGTGAAATTCATGGAGGTTCTGGTACCAGCAGGTGCATGAATGAGAAACCAGCTCAGCCCTGTCCAGCTCAGGTATTCTGTGGGCTCCTGGGCACAGACTGTGCTAGAAAAGTTTCCCACTGGCTACAAGTGGGCTGCTGGGCCTGCCTGGAGGAGTCTTGGTCTCAGGAGTGCTGCTGGGCTAGCCAGGCTGCAGCGTGTTACCTGGATAGTTCCAGGCATTGGGAAGGTGGGACATTGGGCAGGTCCAGGACTGAGACCTGTCTTTGGAGGAGGATGATGCAGGTGAGGAAGGATGGCTAGGAAGGAGCTTGCTTGGCTGGTGTCTCACAGGATGTCCTCCCTCCAGGGGGATGGGGTTTCTGGAGTAGGAAAAGAATGTTCCACAAAGAAACCATAGGGACATCCATGAAAATTTGGAACAGCCCATGACTGTCTGTTTCTGAAATACAAACCTGTAGCTGTTGTTTTAGCTTTTTGCTAAAACTCATTTTTTGTTTGCACTGTTTCTCAAGGTAGGCAGTGTGAGGAGTGGTAAGAGCAGAGCCTTTCTGGAAATATTTGCAGGACTTGGAGATTTGAGAGCTCTGAAACCAGACCAGTCAGGATGTAATTCATACATGTGTATTTATTGAATACATTACTTATACCAGTAATCCTACACATTTATTAATGCACAAATAACATCTCCGTGGACACTGTCCCTCTGACAGCCCTGAAAGGGGCGGCTGGGGGCGTGTGAAGGTGAGAGGTGAGCAGTGTCCCTCCTGTCCCTGCAGTGATCCTGCCGCACATCGGGAGCGCCACGTACGCCACCAGGAGCACCATGGCAGTGCTGGCAGCCAACAACCTGCTGGCTGGGCTGCGAGGGGAGCCCATGCCCCACGAGCTGAAGCTGTGATGGCCAGGCCCTGCTCGAGCTGAAGCTGTGGTGGCCAGGCCCTGCTCCAGCAGTCGTGGGACGGACGCGGTGCCGAGGCCAGCCTGTGTCCCCTCCCCTGCGGTGGCCAGGAGCCATTAAAGAGAAGCAGCCAATGTGTTGTGCTCATGTCATTTGAGAACAGGCCCAGTGCTGGAGCGTGCTGTGGGTGCCAGCAGGCCATGGGGAGGGGTTGGCCCTGGACTGGAGAATGTTTGCCAAGCTGGAACTGCCGTAAGGGAGCTGCTGCAGCAGCATCCATCCTCAAAACCGGGCTCCTGGTCACAGGGAGAGGCCAGGAGTGCCTTAGCTGGGCTTGTAGCCAGGAGGGGAGGAGAGGTAGCAGCTTTGTCCATGCAGGCTGCTGCTGCCACAGGAGCTGCTGCCAGCCCACACATCAAGTGGTGCTATGATCCTGTGCCTGAGGGGTGTAAAGAGAAGCACAAAACAGGCTTTTGCAGCTCCCCAGGAACCTCCAGCTCTGCCTTTTGTATCCATAACCAATTCCAGGCACAGCTCCAAAGTGGATGGCAACCTGGAATTCCCTGGGAGGTTCTGCTACCCCTTTGTGGGTTCTGGCTGCAGCTCCCCTCGTGTTTCTCAGACATGCAGTGACATTTGTTGGTGAACAGGAGAGTCTGAATGGGGCCTGAGCCTCCAGCTGTCAGGAGAGGCCTGATGGGCACATCTCAAGGGGCTTTGGGGATTCATGTGTCCTGCAGCCACTGTCCCAGTTCCATAAATTAGGGGCTGGAACCTGGAGCACACCTCTCCATGCCACCAATCACAGAATCATGGAATGGTTGGGTTGGAAGGGACCTTATGGATCATCTCATCCCACCCCACCTACCAGGGGCAGGAGACCTTCCACTGTCCCAGACTGGTCCAAGCCCTGTCCAGCCTGGCCTTGGACACTTTCAGGGCATGGGCAGCCACAGCTGTGATGAGCCCGGGGTCCAGGTGGCCCATCCTGCAGGATGGGGGTGGATCTGCCCCGGGGTGTGTGCTGACCTTGCCATTGCCCCTCCCTGCCCATCACCGGTGACATGTGGCAGACAGGGCAGCCCTGTCACAGCCCAGCCACAGCCACCAGCCACGCAGTGCTGCCCACCCCAGCCACCCCACAGGTGTCCCCACAGCAGGATGGGGAGGTCACTCTCACCGGTGTTAAACCAGTGTCCCTCCAGCTCCGAGTGCTCCCAGTCCTAGTGCCAGGGAACACTGCACACCTGGACTCAGGTTCCTTTTGAGCAGTGGCTCTCCATCAGCCATCCTCCTCCTGTTCCTCCCAGTCCCATCACAGCACTCCCTGGTGTCCAGGCCTGCAGAGGACACAGGAGCCCTTTCGGCACGCCCAGGTTAAGCAGCGGTGCTGGTGGCTGACCCGCCCTGCTGAGATGGATTTGTGCAGGTCTTCCCACTGCTTTGCCCCAGGACAAGCCCCACTGCCCCACAGCCAGCTGTGCCTTCACCCTGCAGGGGACAGACGGAACCAGCACTTTTTGGGGACAGCAGCACAAGGGGAGGGAGCGAGGAGTTTGCAATGGGCAGGAGGGAAGTGTCCTAGGGTGCGCAGCTGGCGGCAGCAAAATCCTGGTGTGGGGAGGGAGCCAGAGCACTGCACAAAGCCTGTAACTGGAGCTAAAGCTCACCCAACACACCCTATGTCTCTTCCTGCCCCACAGCAAGCATCCCTTGTGCCAAACTCTGCTGGCATTTCTTGGATGCTCAATAAAGCACTCTCTGATATCAGTCATGGCTGTTGGGAGTTGCCCTGCAGCACGCCTGGGAGGGATTCTGACACATTTTTCAGTAAGTTTTGATTCACAAGCATGGCTGATTGCCTTGTGCTGGCCTGTCAGTTCCAGAGGTTTGTAGCCTGGAGTGAGCAGGAAATGCTTGTGGCCATGGTGGTGGGGAGGAAGGGAGTGTGCTCTGAGCATCCCAGCTGGCTGGGGAGTTTCCAAACGACGCAGTGGAAATCAGGATTGGCTTTGCTGTGAAAACCCAGGGCTTGAGTCCAGTGTGGGAGCTCACTGGTCTCCAAGATTCCTGAGTGTTGACACTGAAGATTCTGCTGTTGGTGGAGCTGCTGAAGGACGGTGACCGAGTATCCCAGAGGTTCCTGTGCTCCCTGATGATGGCAGGGAATGACCTGGTGTCTGAGCAGGTGTGTCAGATTGCCCAGGTGCATTAACAAACAGACAGGAGCTGGTAAATCAGCTGCTACAGGGACTGGGGCCCTGGGCTCAGGTGTCCATATCATAACTCCTTTGAGACAAGCACCTCCTGCACCTGTGACATCCTCCCAGGAGGAATTCAAGAGCAGCAGTGACCACGGATCATGAATTTTACAGCTGCTATGCAGATACTGCTTCGTTTAAGTTCTTACAAAAAACTGTACCAGGGACAAAATTATTACCAAGGTCAGGTTCATACGATCCCTTTTGCAGTCACAATTTTTTTCTGGACAGGCTGGTGTGGAGAGCACCAAACCAGTGAAGCCAGTCAGACACAGCAACACAAAAATGTAGGGTTTATTTCCAGGTGTTTTAGAACAGACACCCCGACACCTCCATGCGAGATCCCACTTGCACAGTTCAATTCTGAGCACAGTTCAGTGGCATAAGCTCTCCAGGCTGTGGGGTGAGACACCTGCACTGCAGCAGGCAGCTCAGGCCCCAGGTGTTTATTTATGCTATTCCCAGGAATTTATTGCTTCATTCAGGAAGACTCAGAAAGCCATGAAGCAGCTGCAGGCTCCAGGCCTGCCACTGCCCCTCTGCACATCAACTGACAATGGCATTTAAAGCTGCTGCTTCCAAAAATGCTCCAAACTCTTTCTGACAGAAAGAATACAGAAGTCCTCCTGCACTGACATTCCACATAAAAAAAATTTATAAGAACAGTTCAAAAGTCCAGTTAAGTGTTCATCTGCTCATTAGTTCCTAATTAGTCTCCTTGCACAAAGAGATGCTTTATTCCCAAACACTGTAAAATTCAACACATTTGGACATGCTACAGGAAACTGACAAAAAAAGCAAGCCTTGTTTTTAAAAAGCAAAACACTAGAAATGCAATGAAGACAAAACAGTGTTACTTAATAAAGCAACACAAGAAAATATAAAAGTACAAAATACTGCATTTTATTGATATTTGGGAGAGTGTTTATGCAGCTCAATGCTGTTAGTCCCCAACACTGAAATTATTTAAAACAAAACACAGCATATCCCACTGCTTTAAAAAAAATGTGTTATTGTAATGCTTAAAAAAAAAAATATCAGGAGCCAGACATATGACCATTAAGTAAACCCTCTAACAAAATGTGAACATTTTAAAGGAATGAATCCAACCATCTCCTGGGTTTCTGCATTCCTCAGATGGTCAAGGTGCAAACGACACCCTGCTAGGGCAGGTGCAGCAACTCCTCTGTCTCACCTGAGCAGGACACACTGCAGCCCTGAGCCAGCCCCTGCTCGGCTGAGCAGCATTTATCATCAGCAGAAGTGCTCTGAAAGTTTATTTTAAAACCTAAGAACACTGAGCACCAGTTCGTGTGCACCTCTGACAAGGGAGAAAGGAGACTGCAGGCAGTGTTAGGTTATGGTGGCACCAAAGAAGAGGAAATTAAAAGGAGATTTACATGACTCACATGGAGAATGACAAATTTCTGCTGCATGTCTACAGTGCCATTTTTTAAAATTAAATTTACATTAGCTTTTTTTAAATGTATGGGGAAAAGTACTTTTATGACACTATCCTAGGTGGATGTGACAAGGACATTTTACAGAACAGAAGCCAGCAGTGCCCTGGCAGCCAGGAGGGCCAAGCATGTCCTGGGGGTATCACTAGCCAGGTGAGGGAGGGGATTGTCCTGCTCTGCTCTGCTCTGCCCTGGGGCAGCCTCACCTCAAGTGCTGCAGGCAATTTTGAGCACCATCATATGAAAGACGTTAAGCTGTTAGAGAATGTCCAAAGGAGGACATGAGGTTGGTCTGGAGAAGCGCTACAAGGAGCGGCTGAGAGCACTTGGTTTGCTCAGCCTGGAGGAGACTGAGGCCAGACGTCAGTGGTGTCTTCAACATCCTCCTGAGGAGCAGCAGAAGGGCAGGTACAGATCTCTTCACTCTCGTGACCAGTGACAGGACTTGAGAAAACGGCTGAGGCTGTCAGGGGAGGTTTAGGTTGGCTATCAGGAAAGGTTTTTCATCCCAAGGGTGGTCTGACACTGAACAAGCTCCCCAGGGACAGGGTCACAACCCCAAGGCTGCATGAAGCAAACAAGTGTTTGCACATTGCTCTCAGGCACAAGATGGGATTGTTGTGGTATCCTCTGCAAGGCCAGGGGCTGGACACAATGGTCCTGAGAGGTCCCTTCCAACTCAGCACATCCCGTGATTCTGTGCAATATGGCAAACAAGGATTGCTCTGACCTAGGAGCGATTGGATCCAAGGACAGATCCACAGCTGCAAAGTCACTAAGTGTGCAGAGCAGGAAATTAAAGCCTGGAGACAAGGGAAAAAGACAACGTGCTTACGCCACAACGGGGACCAGATGGACTGTGGGCATCTGGGAACAGCAAGATACTGTCTTACGTGGCAAAAAAAGCCATCACAAATTCCCTCTCCTTCAAAACAACAGACAAAGACAAGCTCTGTTCAAACTTCTGCGTATATAGAATTGTAACATAGGAGATACAAACTGGTTAAAATACTGCTAGGAATAGCACAAACAAGAGACAGTACTTCACTTACCACTTAATACTCATTTCTACGGAAAAAAAAACCAGCCAAACATCCAAATCTTGCTGTCTTAGAGTTATATGTACACCTGGCAGTCCGAAAGTTACTTGTCTGGGTTTTAATTTAAGCACCTTGATTACACAGTGTCCTTTACTACAAAACAGCCAAACATACATTCATAATCCTAGAACTATTGTCATAAGTAGCGTATTTTAAAGCATTATGTCAGACAGGTGCAGCCTAAGCTTTTTTTCTCTTTTAAAGGTAAGGAGTCTGCAGCACTGTCCTCACATAATGCAGCAACTCAGGTTACAGTAATCATTTAAATGCTTCCACTGTTACAAAATGCTCTAGAGAGAAAAAAAATCAAAACAAAAAGAATCGTGCACGTCAGTTTCTTATTCTCAAACCGTGCTATATCAGGAGACCCCCATGCTGTCACCCCTCTGCCCTGCAAAGGGGCTGCTTCGCCGAGGGGGTCACATCCCCATCCCCGCCGCGCGGCTCCCGGCGGCGACACCCGCGAGGTAGGTACCGGATATCCCCAATGGCAGAGCCAAGACTGTGTGTGGCACCGCGGCACGCCGGTGTCCGCCCGCCGGAGCATCCCCGCCCGCAGCGAGGCTCCTCCAAGCCCGGGGCAGCAGGTTACAGCAAGCTGCTGGGCAGGTTGCTGCTCTGCCACCTAAGGCAGGTGGTCTTAGAGTGTTTGTAGAGGTGGCTGGACTGGCTGAAGCGCTTGCCGCACTTGAGGCAGGCGTAGGGCTTCTCCCCCGTGTGCACACGGATGTGCTTCTTGCAGTCCGTGAGCGTCAGGAAGGTCTTGCAGCAGATCTTGCAGGCGTACTTGCGTGCGCCCTCCACCACCAGCACGTTGTGCTCCGACAGAGCCTTCTTGCACTTGGACAGGACGTCGGCGGACGCCCGCGTCAGCTGCGGCGGGCCTGGCTGCGACAGGTGCCCGCTCTCGAAGGAAGCGCTCCCGTTCATCATCAGCTGGGACCCCGAGGAGCTCTCCTGCAGCTGCGAGCCCCGCACAGAGGT